CACCCTCTCCCTGCCAGGCTCTCCTCCCATGGCCTTGACCTACAGGTAGAAGGCGGCCTCTGGCGCAGAGCCTGTCCTGACACCTCCCTTGCGCCCCCAGAGCTCTTCCCCAAGGCGGTTCTGTTAGCCTTGGTGGCTGTGACAGTCCAGAAAGGTCAGGCTGGTCTCTGGGGGGGGGGGGTTCGGGGGGGACACCCCAACTCCAGCTCAGCCTGGAAGTGGATTCAGAGCTCAGTGTGGCCAATCTGAGCCCAGGATGCCCCCTGCCCACAGTGATTGGCTGGGTGTGGCTCCCCCTTCACCCAATGGGAGCCCTGGGAAAGCATTGCTAAGAGGAGCGGAGGGTGGGAAGGAAGCCGGTAATGAGGGTGCAGGCCGGGCACCCAACTGAGGAAGCAAATGTCAGCGAGCTCTGCTCAGGCCACGGGCTGGTGCCTGGGAGCCAGCAGCCTGTGGGCTCCTCCCCCGAGGGCCGAGGGCCTGCGTTGGGAAACAGATGGACCTGATCAGAGAATGAGGGCCTGCAGGCTCTGTCACTCTCCCCTGCCTGCCCCTGTGCTAGTAGTCCACAGCCCCACCTCCGAGGACGGCTACCCTGTCTGCCCGCAGAAGCCCATGGGTTACTGTCCTGGAGGGGGTTGGAGGGCCCACCGGCCAGCCCAGAGCTCCTCCCACAGCAGCGCTGAAGGCGGAGAGGGCGGGGCTCTGGGACAGGTCCCCGCTGATGCTGACCCCGGGGCACCTCCGAGGGCACCTCCGAGGGCACCAGTCAGCGCAGGCCCCGGGCAGGTTCCATTTGCTGGAAGGAGCCGAGTCTGCTGGTCCCAGGACCCCCGACTCCTTGGGCACGGCCCAGGCTTTGCCATATTAATGCCCGCGTCTGTGAAAACGGGCAGAGGCTGACCATCATCATCCCCATTTTACAGATGGGGAAGGTGAGGCACCGAGTCCAGGGGTCAGAGGAGCTGGAATGAGCCTGCTGTCCCCCAGGCCCGGTGGCGGATTCCAGAGGGAAGCACAGGGCAGCCGGGCAACTGGGCCCACGCAGAGCTCCCCAGCCTCCTCTGGGATGAGAATGAGTGTGTCACCAGGAGGGCTGTGTTGAACAGAGGGCAGGACCTCTCAGAGCCTGCCGTCCATCACAGGCATCGCGGGCCCCAGGCAACCGTGCTCCCCAAATTCATGTGACCGCAGAGTCTGCACAAAGTCGGCCTCAGCACCAGCTCCTGGGTCCACTCTTGGGGAGCCACTGGCCTCGCCCAGAGAGCGGGGCACAGGAGGCAGGACACCTGGGTTCCACGTCCGCTCGGGCCCTCAGACAAGCCCACGCAGTGCGGTCCTGTGGCCTCGGCTCCTGGCTGGGCCCTGCCTCCGTGGCGCTCCCCCTCCCCCTGCAGCCAGAGCCCCTCTGAACACTGCCCCCGCCCTCCATGCCGAGAGCCCCAGCGCCTCCTGGGCATCCTCACCTCAGGCCTCCCACCTTTTGCAGGCCGTCCCCTCCTTTGAGGCCAGGAC